AGAAAGAAAGCAATATGAAAGAACATCAGAGGATGCCGATTGGGAAGGGGGGATCCAGGCGGGAGGAAATACGTTCAAGTAATTTGGAAAGACAGTGTTATGGAAGAGTGTACCAAAAGGGAAAAATACTGATGAAAGAGTAAAACAGAGAGGATAATGAACTGAGTTGCATTGAACTGGAACAAGCCTTGCATCAAAACAGATGCAAGAAGTTTTTTGTTTACTTTAATGGTGTTTTTGCAAGTAATTGGTTATAATGGCCAACAATTTCAGGGGAAAACACTGCATCCATACACAGTGAAGGATTGCCAATCTGTCCGACAATCTGTGTTGGCATAAACACAACCCTCCCTGAGCCTTTGCAGAATTGTGCTTGGTACTGGACCAGAGTACTAATGGTCAGATGGGAAATTAGCTTTGCCATATGCAACTCAGCACAAAATAGGTACAACTTTGAAAACAAACAACAATTCCCCAGATCGGTCGGTTTATACAGTGACAGTTGATTTGGCTGAGAAATGTGTGTCATGTGTTGGACTTGGACTTGTTAACAATAGTAAAACGTTCAACAATGAAGTTGCCCTCCCCCAACTCTACCTTACATTCCACAAACGAACATCCCCGTCTTAAATCACTTGTTTATCTATCAGCTCACTTTAATTGTCCGCTGGGTTTTTGACTGCACCACATTACATAAAAGCACACAGGAGCCTCATGGCAGCAGCACGACAGCCTCTGATGTAAAGCCTCACGCTTTGCAGATAAGACGGGTTCAATTTTAATGTTGCTAGCACACCGAGACGCACCAGGCTCACTTGTAAAACAGAATGCCCCCTTCGCTTGTAAACGCAGCAGCCCAGGAGGAGGGGAGAGATGGGGGTTGGGCCGGCTGAGGTGGGGCTGAATTAAAAAGGAGGAGAGGAATTCCACTTGTCCAACTCCTGCAATCCATCCAGTGGATCAATTTCTTCACTCAAATTCCCAATCCATTCCCCATCTCTTTTAAAAACTAATACCCAATTCCAATCACAGCTGCAGTAAAGCATATCTTGTAAAAGGTCATAGTGTGACCTCTGAGTTCTCTAAATTGGATGCTGGTTGGCCCACTTTCCTTTGAAATATTGCACAGCCTGAAATAAAAAAAAAACGGCCATGTTCACAATCACACCACCAGTGGGACCTGCCTCCTGCCCATCAGTAGGTTCATGTTCATTTTGATGTGAAGTGTCACAGCACAGGCAGTTTAACAAGATATTGGTTGTCTGTGTTGAAGGGAAACAGGAACCAGAACTCAAACCTAAAGTAGAGCGTGGGGACCCAGGGATGATTTTGGGATAGGTATATCTGTGTGTGCTTGCCATAGGCAGCAGTCATATAGTGGAGCATATCTCCTGCAACCAGCCAAGGGAACTGATCAGATGGACGATCAAACACTAATCATTCCCTCACGGCCCATACCGAGTAAAGCTGTCATTAATTTTGCGGAATTACATCAAATCTGAGACATTCTTTATGTGGCCCACGGCCTGTAGACAGTTATACGACAGGGACTGCTGCGCTAAGCAGATGGGGCAGCTTGGCCGTGCATACTAAATACCACCGTCCCCCATTTCTCCATCTCCGCCCTCCCAACACTCTGCTCTCCTTCCAGGCACTCTGCTCCCACTCCCTCTTTCTTTGTTTTCTACCCTTCTAATGCCTTTCCTTGACTGGATGGTCACACAGCCCTCACTGCTGACATCACTCACTACGATGATGGGTAATATTTAACTCAAAAGTGCTCAGATTGGTTTAAACAATATATCCATCATGGGAAAATTCATATCTAAAAGCTCTGTTTACACACTAGACACATTACACTTTAATTTATCATGATGAGAAAATAAATTGTTTACCGACATAAATCTTTTATGTTTGTCTCTTGGAGGTTGACAACTTTAACAGTTTACTTGCCTACACACAACAGAAGGTCATAATCCCATTCGAGGTTTCCTTGGCAACTGATTACTGCTGAAGGCAAGTTACAATTTATGACTAGTGACACATACCTGCCATTCCCTTTGAATGAGACATGTGGTAAGCTATATTCAGACAGACCACCTCAGGTAATAAAACTGCAGTAGCACTCAGGGCTATACCATTTTCTTATATTGAGAGGAATTCCATGCCAGGCTGCTAGAAATCAGCAGCCGACAGGGATTACATTTGTGCGGATTAGTACTGCAACATATAAACAAACAGCCTGCAGAAGCTTTTGCCAGAACAGTTGTAGTGGGTTTTTCCAAGTAATGCATAAAAGTGTTGATATTAGTCCAGCTTACAGTTTCCAAACTAAAAGTATGCATCCATATGGTGTGTGCGTGCGTGTGTGTATGCTCCTGTGTGTCTGTGTGAATGTGTGTGTTTGCCTGTGTGTGTCTGTTGGGGTGGGGGGTTATGACAGACAGAGGGGCCATAACAGCAGGCAGCTAGGTCAAGATCAAGCAGTTTCATGGACAATCCACTTTGAGTCTAGTCTCTATTAGGGTGAAGCCTCACATTCCTTCAGCACAGCCATCTTCTAACAACTTCAAAGTCAAGGCTAACTGAAGTCTGCCTGCCATACCGTTTTCAAAAATTACAGTGGCAAAAATAACACCAAACAATTAGCATAACAGGAGCAAGAAGAAGACAAAGTAGTGAATCATTATATCGGTGTTTAAATAGTGATGCATACTGGTTAACTGAAATAAAAGAAAGAGCAAGACACTTATAATGAATCTTTTGCCACCAAACTAAAATGTAGAGTATTCTTTTACATTTCCTCACATGCTAGCCCTAAACACACATGCAAACAGTTGTCACTGGTCTGAATAAGCTAGTCATTGCGGTACAAGCTATTTAATTATCCTATTGCATAGAGAGCCACTACTTCCAGCACCGCTTTGCTCACACAGGCTCAGCACACTATTAATCCACTTCAATACAATTTATAGGGTCTCAACATCGACTGTCCGTCGGCATAAAATTACATGAAGCGTCCTTATAGTGTCTTCAACAGACCAAATTAGCCAAACTGGACTTACTAATTGAGAAGAGTAAAGTACTATGTGCCTAGATGGACTCATCAATGAGCAGAGATAAATAAGAAGGCTACGGGAAAAACATCAATAACTTCAGTAATTAAGGATGCCCATTATTTAAACTGTGGTTACTGAGGCATTATAACCTTAAATCTTCAATACTCATTTAAATGTCCACCTCTATGATGTTGGTTCCTGCAGCCAACTGACTCCTATTGAGTTCACTGCAACAGAGATGTGTGTTGACTCTCTTTATCAACATGTTTGATTTAAATCATTTTAAATATAATGTGTGTGTGATTAAAAAGCCATTATTTAAATATGTATGTCAATAAAAACTTTAAAAAAAAGTTCCAAGACAATCAATTAAACAAATAACTGTAGTAGTATATCACTAAAGGGCTTTGCAGGGATATTTCCCTCATTCTGGGCTACCCACTTTTACTTTTGCTGTGCGGTTGCAATATTTGCAAAACCTTAGATGACTCCAGAAGCCCGTGGGACAGTATGAGGAGGCTGAAGATCATGCACTGTGTGTTATAGATGCTAAGAAATATATGCTGCAGCCTGAATGTAAAGCATAGGATTATCAAGATGGTATACTGCCATCTGCTGTCCGGAGCCCAACCAGCAACTGCTGATTATTTGTACCCCCACATGTTACGAGGCAATGTCTCTCCAAACTCATTGCCAAATTGTGACTTTCTTCTTTAAAGAAATGACTAAACATGACTAATACCTGAAAACTCCATCAAATGCAGAACATCGTTTTGTACAAGATGATAATTTAAGGTTATACAGGTAATCAGTGGTGTTAAGTAACTAAGTACATTTACTCATTACTATACTTAAGTCCAATTTTGAGGTATTTGTACTTTACTTGAGTATTTCCATTTCATGCTACTTTGTACTCAGGTAAATATTGTACTTTTACTCCACTACATTTATGTAGTAAGTTAAGTTACTTTGCAGATTAGTGATAAACAATATGATCAACACTTAAATTAGATTTGAGTTACATCTGTATTAAATTCTCATTCAACCCAGCAGTAAATAAAGGAATTCAAATGAGTTCCACCTTTACAAGCTATATAAACATATGAATACATCAGTAACTATAATTAAAACATATCATATATATATGTATTTATATATACGATTGCGAAACGGGCCAGTCTCAATAATAAGTACTTTTAGAAATGTAAGTATATTTAGATGCCAATACTTTTATACTTTTACTTAAGTAACATGTACAGGACTTTTACCTATAGCAGAGTATTCCTACACTTTGGTTCTACTATTATTTAAGTACAAGATTAGACTTCTTGAACCTCTGCAGGTAACTACGAAAAACCTTCATAATTCACTTTTACAGAATATCGATTCATATGTTTAGCAAAAAAAACATTACATTAAATACCAGTGGCAGAGAACATAGTATCTTACTGTGATTCAAATTAAATAGCCTTTATAGGGTGCATGTTTACCTTCCAGTTGAATAGGAAATATGCGAAATAATAAAGTTAACATTCAAAAGATTCTCTGTAACATATGAGATATAAGGTTGCAACAACAACACAAATTACAACAGAAATGTAAAGGATCAGCTTGTTCTCTCTCATACTGCTCACATCCGTTTAACTGCATCAACCGCTAATCGTTGTTTTCCTCATCGCAAACCGGAGATACTAATTCCCATTGGTCAGTATGCACAACTCTGTCAGACAGCCAGTGGCTCTCTGAGCTTTGACAAGCGATGAGAAAAATAACGGCAGTCGATGAGAAGCATCATATTACGTCCAGTGCGACCTCTACTGTTCTGCTCTGAGCCTGGGAAATGTAGTTTAAATTCGGTGTTTCAACGTAGATTTAGCCACATGATGAACAACAGCTCCCATAATTCCGCTGTGGAAGTGAAGCTGTCATGCTTGTGTTTTGCTTTGGTTTTTTTGTTATTGTTTCGGGTTATTGGAGCAACTGAGCCTGCAGAGGAAAGTGCGTGTGTATCGCTCATGTTTTTGTTGTTGTTTTCTCCCACATTGTGACTCCTGTATCTGATATAGAGACGGCTCGTCTAGACTGTTTACAGAGACGCGAGGGCGATAAAGGTAAGCAGGATAACCGGCCGAGACGGTGGAGGGATAATGTGCGCAGATGTCTTTGTAGTTAGCAAAGCCTGTTATTGTCTTGCCTGACGTGCACGCACAGCCTACTAACTAATGATACGTCGATAATAAGCGAGTAGGCCTCCAGGTTCAGATCCACCTTTAGCTGCTTTGTTGACATGTTTGTCTTCCTATGTTTGCATCGACGTGCACGGACACTGTTTTCACTACATGTGCTGCTACTGTTGGGCCTCAAGCCTCGTGCCGTGTAATGTGAACCCTCCGAAAGCTAGTGTATATTTTTTGTCACCGATCCATGTTTTTTGAAGACATCTGCAAAACGTTTTTTTAAATAATAAAACAATATGTTGTTTTCCTTATTGCAAAGTTTAGGAAGATGCATTACAAAAATAGAAACTGTACACCTCTATAGTTATTTTTGGTTTATACAATACAACACAGCTTATGCACTTTAAAGCCTCCACACCAAAGTGCTGTACAGAGAAACAATTAAATTAATAAAATACAAAAATCTAACAGCTCAGTTCACAAACCATACAAATAAGTGAAAAACTAAATTAACAAGAATACAAATGGATGTAACACGAGAGAGAAATATAAAGTATGGGAAAGGTACAGTTAATCTACAACTGTAGCATATGTACACTTTAGGCCCAAATAGTGCCTTTAGAATCCCCTCTCAAATTGAATTTCTTTGCAATTGTTGTCACCTGAATGTCTGTCAGGATGACCGGACGCATGCAATAGTTACTCACACTCAACATATGGTGGATTGAACACCCCACACAATGCTAAATGAATAAATAATGCCTTCTCTGAGCCACAAGTGGTTTAATGGTTAACTGCAGGCAGGAATTCCTCAAAAGTGCATTTGCCAGTGAAATTTGAGCCCTATACAAGCTGAAGGTTCTAGACACCTTGTCCTTCATGCTTACACGTGCACGGTGTACAATAGCAAATTATGTTGACGATGACTGAAATAGCCCTTGTGACAAACATGTAATGTCATGTTGCTCAACAGCAATGCTGTCACTGAGGTTACGTTCTGATGTTCTCTCCTCAAGTTGGCACAAATTAAGGATATCCACTTACACTAAATAAACGTTCACAGACTACAGGCTCTGTCTTGTTTGTCTTCCTAACAACATTGAACATTGTTTCCTACATGTGCAAAATAGCCTGCCTTCCTTTAGTGTTGCCATGGAAAACACTTGGCAGGTCGAGTTCAGAAACGTGGGCTGCAGTTACTTCCCTCAGAGCAGAGTCGATTGCCACTACACACTGAGCTCACAGCACAACTGGGCCAGCAATGACTGGATAGGACTCTTCAAGGTACAGTTATCCTAAAAACTGTCACAAAAATAATGTGGATGAAGAGTATTTAATGGCAAATAACATTGTGCATATTTTGTTCCTCAGGTGGGATGGCTGTCAGTGAAGGACTACCACACCTTTGTTTGGGCAATGGCCCCGGCTGACTATCAAGAGGGCATGGATGTCAACTGCTGTGTGCACTTCCAGGGTACTCATGCCCTTTTTTCTAATTGTATTTTATTTCCCATAGTTAGCCAGAATCTATACTGGTACGGTGCTTAGATCCGCATATAAAACCTTCACTAGGAGATTGATGTTTCTGTAAATTGAATTTCTCTCCAAGACACAAAAGGCTAGCTTCTACTCTATGGAGTGGAAGAAAATGTTATTTGTACCTTAAAAGAGTGTTTCCACTGAACTTATCCTAAACAGAAGACTAATATCCCTCAGCTTGGACTCTCACATGGGACGAGGCTGTATCATGGTTACAATACTGAGTTATGAGGATGACAAGCACAATGCCTCTGTCAAAGCCTGCTCCAACTACTACTAAATACTGAAGAAAACCGTTTGTACCGTTTATCAAAGGCAGCTGATAAGCCCATTCAGCGAGGGCCAGATGTACAGCGGGTGCAGCATTGACAGCATTTTCACTAAGTTAAGCGTACTGCCAAGAGCAGAGGGAGAAAAGTATAAATAAACTTCAGATGTTTCCTTATCATCAGCATTGTGACCTAAGCCGGTGCTGTAAGATATAATACAGCTCATAAACGTTGCTGTATGTCATTCTTCCTTTTCTGTTTTCCATCAGGCCCTTTTACTGTACACATTTTGTAAAATGGCAAAGTGTAGATCGTTCTAAACATGAAGCCTGTGTTAGATAAGGATACTATTATCTTAGCTTTATGGCCTGGAGGAAGTCAAGCTGTGGCTGGCTCCTCTGGGGTAGGAGTGGGAAGCATGGAGGCATCATCATCAGGTCCTGCTGTTTAGAATTAAAACAAATTGGTTAAACTAGCCAACAAGCTGAAAGTGGGTTGCAATTTTCAACTCGATTTAATTTCTAGCGCTTTCTCATACAATCATATAGCCAATATATATATAGCCAGATCGAGCACAGACAACAAAGTAAAAAGTGCTAAAATAGACTTCGAATTAATTACATTATGCAAAACTAAATATTCATGCTTCACAGAGCAAAATAAAAAATAGCACAGACAATAAAGTAAAGAAAAATAGACATAATAAATAATACATTTTCAAATAAAAAATGCAAAGTTAAAATAGAAATTAAAGTCACTTATATAAATAAACACAAGGTAGAAAATATTGAACCAATGATAGGTTGGTTGGTTTTATCTTGCTTTACAGAGCAAGATAAAAAGAGCACTGACAACAAAGTAGTGCAGAAATAGACAAGAATAATAAAAAAACTGAAATATTTGTGCTTCACAAAGAATAATTAAAAACAGCACAGAATAAACAGTAAAGAAACAAGAATAGAAAAGATTAAATCAAATAGAAAATTACATAAAGTCACTGTTATAAATACATGGTACACAAGCTATAACAAATAGTATTAAACAAATTATTGAAAACAAATGACAAGGCACCTTAAGTAAAAGCCAGTTAAAAAAGATATTAGTCTTAATGTCTTAGCAAAACTAAAGTGAATCAAGAAAGAAGTTATTTAGTAGCCTCATCAAAGCTGGTAAACCGAATAGGCCTACTTTCTGAGAGAAACAGGAAGCATTAATTAAAAGAATGTTTACGTTTTCTTTCTTAATTAACGATTATCTTCCATATTCCAAATGTTTTGATCAACCTTAAATAAATAGCTAAACCTTATTGTCGTTTAATGAAGAATCGGCTAGTTGTAAGAGAATACCGTTTTGGAGGGAGCTAGACATACATCCGGTGTTAGTGTAGGCCGCTCCTCCGATCACCTGTCCTCACAGAGACTTGTTTTACTAACTTTATGAAAGATTAAACTTTATATTCTCATCTAAATTAACAGACAGAATAAACTCTCATCTGACGAAATGTTAGTACTTTGATGACAACACTTGAAACAGCCCTCAAACGGGACAGATTAACTTACCTGCATAGGAAACGCTATCTGCGTTCATTAAGTATAATAAAGGTAAAAGAAAAGAAAATGGAAACTTACTCAAGGCAAGGTAGACTTCTTGAAGATATATCAGGATGGACAAAGTATTTTCCAAGTCGGTGATCAATAACAAACCATCGGTTAATTCTAAAGGAGCCCGCTAAAGTGTTTGCGAGCGTTGTGAATCAAATGTTTTGCTCTACGCCATTTATTTTGGCGCTCACCTGGTCTAATTGACGGAGTGCTGCCGCTCGTGGTGGGAAGCTGTATTGCAGCAATCCGCTCATGAATCAATTGTGGCGATACAATACATTTTTTTCTTTTTAAATCAATTTTTAAATTGCATTATTAAATGATTTGTTTTATGCATATACATTTACATTTAAAATCTAAACCCTTTAAATCATGTTTTATACTATTAAGACTGTTATTATAAAGGAAATTTGCTCTCCCAAAATAAGAGGAGTTAAATGATCTAGCCATCTAAATATAATAATATCATAATGGTAAAAAAAAAAAAAACACTGAAAACTGAAATGTAACATCTCATGTCTCATCTTTTTACCACCACTTCTTAGCCTCCTACCTACCCAAGACCAGCTCCCAAGATTATGAGTTCGTATACATCGACGCAAAGGGGGAAGTTTGCTCCCGCAGCTCCACATTTAGTTTCTGCGCTCCAAAGCCCCTTGAGGATCTGGTGACCTTTGAGGAGGAGCCCCATGGTGAGGAAGGAGGCACAGGCATGCTGCTGGTAGTGCCCAGGGCTGAACTGCTGCAGGTGAGCATAACAATCATAGAATATTATTTACAAAATAAGGTAGCAAAGTATTTTTGTTTTGCTAAATTAATGAGTGATGATAAAACAAATAAGCCGGAACATTTATTTTTTAATTTCCCATCCGCTTCCTTCTGTCTCTCGTCAGAGTCGACTGCAGGAATGTTTGCGAGAGCGCGCTGAACTGCTGCAGGCGCAGGAAGCGGAAAACAAGCACAGGGAGAAAGAGATGGAAGATTACAAGAGGGCCAGGGAGGCCTGGGACAGACGACGCAGAGGGCTGGAGAGTGAAACCGCCAGGCTGAAGGACGAGCTGAAGCAGAGTCAGGAGATGCTAGAGGAGATGGAGACGGAGCACAACGTATGTATAGAGCTAGGCAAATGACGAGGGAAAGATCATTTGCTTATGACCGATTCGCTTTTGGACATTTCCATATTTATCTTCTGTATCTGTGCCTTTATTCTCAGATGCAAAGCATGTCTTTGCTCAAACAATTTTTTTTCAATTTTAAGTACTAATGTAATTTAATAAAATGCCTGGGCTGTTATATTAAAATATTAAATTTAATATATTTTTATATGGGTTGCCTAGTGTATGTCATAATAAAATACAATTCCTCGTAAAAATTAAAAATGCCTCCGGTCTGTTAGGAGAAGCAGGCTTTTGGAGAATCACTAGCCCAGGAGAAAAGTGCTTTATTGGATGCGAGGGAGGCGAGCAAAGTGAGAATCAAAGAGCTGGAGGAGGATATGAAAACCCTGACACAGAGAGCCGTGGAAAGAGAGACAGAGTTGGAAAGGTATGACGTTTTTTTCCGCTTTGCCGCTTTTACATTAAGTTTTATGTGGGTTTCATGAGTACTTTTGATCATCAGTAACCAACTCTATGTGTGCAGGATGAAGGAAAGAGTAAAGAGGGCAGGAGCTCAGAAAAATGAAGAGGATAGTGAGAAAAAGAGCCTGCAGGTAATTTCAATGCAGATGAACATTGCTGTACACATCATAATAAAAGCGGTGTCTTAGTTGTTCTTTCTTAAACATCGCACTCTCTTTCCCCATCTGTGTCATGTTTTTCCTATAAGACCAAGCTTGAACAGACAGAAGGTGAACTCCGAAGTCTGTCGAAGGAGTTTCAGGTGCTGAGGACTTCGCTGGCTCAGAGAGACACGAGTGTTCTGCAGCTCCAAAACAGCATCACCACCCTCACCCAGAAACTCACCACTGCACACAGGAAAGAGGTTGGAAATGAGGGTTGACAATAATATACGGTTTGATAGTTAAAGCTGGAATCGGCAAATTTGCATGCGAGGGGCATTAAATAGACAAGAATAATGCTTCACTGATGTTCAAAATACATGTTGTCCTTTTTTAATGCATCACCTCCTTTAAGCACCGGCAAACCAAATGTATCTTCTTAACACATGGTCTCAATTACCTAAGATGGGAAAATATTTATTTTTCTATTATACCTCAACTTATACATGGGTGTATTTCCTAATTAACACACATAGCTTTAAATAATAATGAAAGCACATCCTAAAGTTTTACCAGACATACTTGAAAAACTACTTTGGCTTTTCATATTCTGTATTAGTTATAACCCCAACTGGCATTATTTGGGAAATCATCTTCAGATATGTAGCCAACATGCTTTCTTATCCCGTTATTTCCAGGCAGAGAACGAGGCCACACTGAAGGAGATGTGGAGCCTGCGGGAGCGTCTGAACATGAGCGAGCGCGCTGCAGAGGGCTTAAAGAGTGATCTAAATGCCATGGTGGCCCAGAGGGATCATGGGCAGGCGGAATTGCATCAGGCTCGTCTGCAGGCTGCACAGCTCACACTTCAGCTTGCTGATTCCAGTCTGGCCATGAGAGAGGGAAGAGCCCGCTGGACCCAGGAGAGGCAGAATCTCCAGCGCATTGCAGAGGTACATATAGCTGCTAGAACTAAAGTGCAGACTTTAAATCATTTGTGATAGGGTAGAGTTAAAGTTTGAATATAACTTCAATAGCAATGTTTTAACACAAAATATGATGTATTTAAGATCTAAATGTTCCTGTAGTGACTTTTTAACCTCATCTATACTCAAGCCACTGAGGGATGGGAACGGGAGAACTTAGTTCGGACGCGTGTTCCAGACGATAAAACAATGTCCATACGAGTGTATATCCTTGATTATCCTTTATTTTGTGTTCCATATATTCACCATATTGATTGTATCCATATTGCCTTTCTGTTACCATTCAGATGAACAATATGCCTGCCAGTCACGCTCTGATACATACAGGTTAACACAGCTCATATCGACACGGCTTCTGCCCACATGGTCAAAAACTGTTTTCTTCTGTCCCACACACCTGAATCGCATCACCCGGTGATTACATACACACTCACAACTGAATGCTCTATCTTGTGTTCAATGTTGGAACTGCATGATACATTCAACATGCAGATAAAATAAAACAAACAAAATACTTTATGGCTCCAACAGTTCCTTAGCTCATACATGTTCCAGTGAACCAATGAAGAATGTTATATACTGAGAAAGTGTGTGTGTGCTCCACCCTGACAGAAGAACCACGAGAGTCTGGAGAAATACAACGCTGAGATGCAGAAGATGGAGGAGAGGCTGCAGGACGAGAGGATGGAGAGAGTGAAGCTGGAGGTCGAGCTCGGCAGGGAAAAGGACTGCAACCGGGTGGGAAGACCACTCGGAACTTACTGCATTCAGGGTTCCTTGTAATATCTGGAGAGAATGGCTGTAGGGGTTCCTGTACACTTTGGCACTTGTGACTTTTAGAACTGTGTTTTATTTTGTCTGTGTGTGAATGTCCTTTTTGTCTGTAACTTTATTTTGTATTGCTGCTGTTTCTTAACCATGTTTCTCTGTAGCATCAAAACCTGTGTCTCAATAGATTACTTGTATAAATAAAGGTTATATAGCTAATATTTAAAACACTTTTATTTTGTGTGTTTGCAATAAACACAACAACATTTACCATGAATCAGTAAGATATTCTTATATAGTTAATTTCTAAGTACAGAAAACTTAAGCTATTCTTTATATATATATATATATATATATGTGTGTGTGTACTTTGTTTGCTACACAGTTGTATTTTGTAGAAGAGTATTTGTTTTTTCTGACATACCCTGTCCTGTGTTATCTGGCCTTGCAGGTTCAGCTGGGGGAAACCCGCAGGGAGCTCCAGGAGCTGAAGGCCAGCCTGAGGGTCGCCCAGAAAGAGAAGGAGCAGATACTTGCAGAGAAACAGGTCAGAAACTCACTTTAATTAAACATAGGGGACAACTTAAAGCTGAAGCCTACCGAATATGTGTCCAAAAAGGAGAAACTATACTGTTTTGAAAACACGTGCCTGTATAGTGTCACAGTTACTAACTATATGTGTGCTGTTCATTACCAGCTGACAAGGTCTGAAGGCCAATAAATGGCTATGGTATGGTATAGATTAACAAATAAAGTGTAACAGTTGTATCCTAATCAGCCCATAACTGCAGTACTTTAGTCATTATTAGCTTTAAAGTTAAGTTACAATTTGTACCTCTCTCCAGCTTGAGTGCATCTATAAATATGTTTTTTTTCCCTAAATGCTCGTTATTATTAATGTATTCATATCTTAAAGCTTACCGATGTAACATATATGCAAGCATAGGGATTGTGAATGTCCCAGGTGTTGGGAATCTTCGGTCTGTTGTTGTCTTCTTGGTTGTTATTGTGCAATATAAATGGTTTATAGCGTAATATAAATCAGTGGATTTCAGAGCAGTCAGTGCTGCCGCTGTTAAAGTGCCTGCAGAGTTTTTGTTGGATAACCACCATCACAATAGCCCGCTACTGGCAGAGTAGATAGTCAATGTTTTTAAAATCAGTGTCCAGCTTAATTTTAACATCCGCCACATGGGAGCAAAGCGGCCAATCTGTGGCACATGATAAATCAAACTAATGTTTAAATGTTTATTGAACAGAGATAATGATATTTATATAATAACAAGTGTTGCGGCTGTGCATTTGTTACCATTTTATGTGGCTTTGGCTGGAAGAAGTGGAACATCATGAGGGTTACGAGGGTGATGGCTGCTGAAGCCACGATGAAAGTCCTGCCCGGGCGTGTGATATGATGGCTGTATTTTCCACTACAGGAGTTGATGGAGTACATCTGTCAGCTGGAGCAGAAGATGGGAACAATGGTCAGAGCCAAGTGGAGTGCTGCCCCGATTGCCTCTACAGGTGAATGGAGCCACACATTAATCTACTGTATGCCCTGTAGATAAAAGTGTAAACTATCATATAACAGCAGCGCTAAATATTCCTCCGAACAGCCTCTGTAGGGGGGGGGCGACAGGAGCAGTGCTTTGAGGAAAACTGAACACTTTTTCTTTGTCAATTTCTCTATCTGGCAGGGCGGCCTGGCAGTGCATTATCCGACTCTGAGGACGAGAACCCAGAGGCTCTGCAGCCCCTCCGCCCAGCAAGACCTCTGGGTCACTACAGCTTGTGTGAGCAGGGCCAGTCAAACTTCCTGCTCCTTGCCCCCCCTCCTTCCTCCCCAAGGGAGGCGGAGAGTTGTGCGGTGGTCATCAACCAGCCAGCCCCGCTCTCCTCGCCACACCAGGCCGACGCTGACACTTTGCCGCACAGCTCTGATTCGGTGAGACACGCTATTCGAGCCATTCAGCGTCAACATAGTGTAATTGCATGCGATACTGAAAATGAGGTATGTCTTCATGCTGATAGGCGTGCACACCAGTTAATAATGGGCAGTGAATCGTTTGATACAGACATTATCTCCTCAGAGCAATTAGGCCGCTAGTGTGCAAGGAATTAGACTGTAATATATGCTCTGTGTGCGTGTGCGTGTGCGTGTTTGTCTTTGCGTGTGTTTGCTATGTGTGTGTATTGCTCTCTGGTGTGAAGGAGGAGGAAGCTGATACACTTCAGTGCGGAAGGCTCAGCTCTGAAGAGGAAAGAGCACTTCTGCTGCCAGAGCACACTGCCACTGTTATCAGGTAAAACACACACACATACACACACAGGGAGCATTACCAATTGGTATATACTGTAGGTATTGTTATTAAAAGCTTTAGGGAGAAAGTTATTTTCGCCTGTGCTTAATATAAATTATTTAGTACAGTACAGTTTTAAGGTAATTGTGCTTCACTATTACTATTAGAGGAGAGGACATTGCCTGAAGCTTCCACTTAGCGTGTTAAAGATTGTCAAGTGGTGTTAATCAATCCCTATTCACTTGTGACCCTTTTACAAACAAGCAGTGTTTTGCTGAGTTCTTTAGTAATTTTTGAAATGTCTATAGTTGTCTCTAAGCCTTTACTAGTAATGGAATATTTGTGTCTTGTTTAATTGGTGTTAAAATCTAAATTTAGGTTTTAAGTGATCCACCAGAGCTACTTATAACACTGTGACACATGCAAGAATCAAATGTTGCTAGAAATGTTAAAGCTTCTACAAATAATTTTTTTTTTTTAGATGGGCACATTCATATGAGACTAGTTTTAGATAAACAGGTTGTACTGTAGGTAACGCACATCCCAAAAACTTTAAAGGTGCTACGTTAAAAAATCTAACTATGGCATGAATCAGACAAAAGATGAAGCTTCCAGAAATTTTTATTTGACAAACATTTGATCAAACAGACCAAGATCTCAGTTAGATCATAAAATATCACAATCAAAATAGCTAGCTCATAATACAGTACGCATATCTTTTTACCTAATAAATAAACTTGCCTTCCCTTGAAATATATTCTAGGATTTAGGTTAGATTAATGCAGGGTAAGGCAAGTGACGACAACACAATTCAGCACAGCTGAAGATTTTATGTTCAAAGATGGGGCTCTGCATTACTACCTGCATGTTAAAAGGACATTTTCTTTAAAGGCCAAACAAGACAACACATTTCTTCCTGTCATACTGGCTGGTCTTAAACTCTAGCAATGCATCATATTTTATGAGCTCATGACTTGATTTGTGTGTACAACCTTACTCTGCAGAGTAATTAGTGAACACAGCAGCCAGATAACTGCAGTCTGGCAAAAAGTGTCATATTTCTTTCTTAAATGCAGCGAAGTATTTCAAAGAGAAAGGAATGAAGTCATTGTACTCATGCATAGCACCTGAGTGCAGAGTTTCCACTTCAGGTCTCAAAGAGAAATGGTTTCAGGCGCACACAGTGAATTCAAAGCTTACTAATGCACCCAGACACATGTGACCAATTATTTATGGTGACAGGGTGAGTATGGCTGGAAGATGGAAGTTTTGAATATGTGGTCGTAAAAGAAGTTGAGTCAGGGTGAGGCGGGGGGGACTGTGTGAGACAGAGCTGTGGCGTGGGAGGGGCGAGATGGGAGGACAAGGGGACAGATAAGTTGACAGCAAGCTGTAGGAATGATTTACCTGAGGGTTGTACTGAAGTCACGGGCCAATTTTCAGCATCATTAAAGCTCTCTCTCTCCCATTCACCCGCTCCTTCAGTCTAACCTCCTTTTTCAACCAGAACGTGTGTTTTCTTTCACTTTTTCACACACGCACACTCTGCTTTGTCTCATCCTGCAGTGATCTGGCCGACACCTCGCTATGGTAACCAGTGGACACTAAGCCAAGGCGGGCGATCAAAAAGAGAAGAAGGATTTTTATTTGAGTTAATGTGGTTCCACATTACTTCCACTAACAAGCACATATACAGCTCACTCACTACACACACAAAATGTTAATATGCAATTATTGTATCTGCAGTGAACCTTGATTTTCCCCTCTTAGACTGTTGTGTTATCGCCCTTGCTGTTAGTTGTTAGGAATGACATAATGCTCGTGGTGGCAGGTCAACACCGTGTTTATGACAGACATAAGGCTGGTGCACAGTATGAAACGGCGTGCTTTTGGGCTCAGGCGTTTGAGAGTTTGCAGGCTGTAGTAGAATGATTTCTGTTGAATCATTGCTATGTCGAGGGCTTTACGATGGATGTTATGTCGTTTTTATGACTTTTGTGATTAGGAGTCATGACAGGCACTGTAATTATGATGTTTTGTGTGGGCCCGGCTCCTCTTGAAATCATGGCAAAACTCTCTTCCAGCATTAAATTCTCCACAGCAGCTTTGAACGCTATTCACGGCAACATAAAGTTATGATACAGCATCGTGCTAGAATTATATTGCAGTAATGTAGGTTCATGGCATCATATTTCTCCTCCATTTACCCAGAAGTAAGATTTGATATGCACTTTCTTGTACGCAGTAGAAGTTGATTGTTTTCATGCAGATGCAGTTAAGGAGATATAATGATGCAGACGCGCTGTCGGGTGGAGATGCATTTGAAATAGAAAGCCTATTGAACAGATTGTGTTTAAAGTCTATTAAATAGATGCCAGATGCAACTTTCTACTTCAGTACCTTTATTTCACCGTTATTATAATATTAATGCTCATAAGCTCTTTACCATTTATCAGCTGCTGTTTTTACTTTGTAATGATCTTGGATTCCGTAATTATTTAAATTAAATGCTAAATTACTAGCTGGCCGTTTAGATATTTAGTGTTTGTAACGGTTTGTATTGTACAGAAATCTTGCATTCATGCAGTTCTAAATTTGTTCCTAGAATAATTTAAAAAATAATCAAAGAAAAAAAGCTTTATAGATCCCGACATCATGACATGGTGTTGGTATATTTCCCCTAGCCCTATGGCAATATAATGCCAAATAAAAATCGCTGCCTACCTTTTAATCAATACTGTATGCATTTTTCATGATTTTTCTATTTATAATTAACTTGGGCTATGCTGCAATGAAACTATATGCAGGTTTAGTCTTTCACGCAACTCTGTGCAATGTGTGAAAAAGTTTTCAATGCTTGGCTAAAAATATTTGCTAGACACTTTGATGCTTGATGATTTCATCAGCTAAATTTGCACCCTATTTTTACTATAGAAGAGTTTTTAGATGAAAAGTAGATTTACGGATACTTTATATGTCAGTCGTGTGTCCTTTCATCATTATCTTAGTCATTACCATTGTGTGTTGTGTTTACGTATATTTTATTTACACATTCTATTCTTACATTCTGCTTTAAAAAACGTACTTTGACTATAAAGATTTGAGTTATATTGTTTCGAGATATTGGTGCTAATGAAAGGGAATGAAACCGGCATGTTGAGTTTAAAGTGGAGGAAATTAATTGATTGATTAAACAGGATTATGAAAGTACTCACGAAAGGAGTTCATGTCTGTCCAACCTCTCACTTACCTTGTGTCACTGCGTACTCTGGTGTTGCAGTACATGTTGATTCTCCTTGTAAAGAAGTGGGAATGTTTTAAGGAGCCTGGTATTCTTTCCCAGAAGATAGCACACTACACTACATGTATCCTCCATAGTCCTTGTTTGTGGTTGTAATCTGACTTTATGTCTTAGGGAAGTTATTCTTTTGTTATCCCACTGAGAGTTTAAGGGACGAGTGCTCTTCATCGGGACACGTCTCCGGTTGCAATAAAGCTCCAGTGGTTATGGTTTGTTTTGAAGTTTTGTGTGTGAAGGTTATCCCACATGTACTGTGTATTTTCTTATCAGTCATGTACCGGGGTTTGGGTGGGGTTACGTATAATAAAGAGGTTTATGTATCCATTATCGTGTCTAATGTGTCTTTTTCTGGCCAAAGATCATAGCAATATTTTGATCCTCACATGACATTTCACTGGTAATTAACTATGCCATTTCTTTTCACACAGCTATATAACCTATATTCCCCTTTGGCTCATTGCCTGTTTCAGATACATTTCTCATTCTAGATTTTCTCTCCCTTCACCTTTGGCTCTCCCTCACTCTCCCCTCAGGCAAGAGCTCCTCATCATCTTCATCCTTGTGCGTGAACACTCCTCCGGCGGTTCTCCCGCTCCCTCCACCACACTCCCTCCATCTTAAGTCTGGGGTGACGATAGCTAATTATAAAATCAATGATGCCGGGCTGCCTAGTTTACAGCCCCCTCTAAAACCTTAACTGGGAAATCACTGTGGGATTGATGACCCCCCCACTCTTTATCTCTTTTAATTAGAAATGTAAAAGATATGAAGACCCAGAGGCCAGAACACATCTCCGAGTTTTTATGACCCTGACACCCGCCTTCCACAGCTCTCGCTTCCCTTCCCCAATTCACTCCTTCCTCTACCTGGCCTTGTTTATTCCCTCCTCCTCCTCCTCCCTTCTGTCCCACCCTCCATTCACACTCTTGTCACAGATACCTTTACCCGTTTCTTCATCACGTTCTCCATTACCCTTCCTTTAAGATCGCCCGCCTCCCTTTCTGTTCGCACATTGAAAGGTGTTATAATTGATGGTCTTTGCACTTGAAAACGTTTGTCACCTTCCCTTCGCCTCTTCTTTCTTCCCTTGACTGATTCCCAAGCCTCCATCGATTCGCTGCATATGTAACAAATGAGGAAGATGTCCTTTTTGTCCGTTCTGACCCAGGTAGGAGACAAATAATGTGCTGTGACCCCGCTTCCAACTCCATGCATCCTGCACATGACGCGTACGCCTCTCTGTCTTGTATATAGCTTTAGGTCCACGTAGAAAGACCCCACAGGTTTTTTTTTTATCACATCAAACCCAGGGCACCTCCACTCTGCTTTTATCACACCCTGAGCCCAGGCTCTCCCTCCCTAACTGCTGCCAGGAGCACTTGGGTTCAGTGAGCTTTATCCTCCCGATCACTCTCTGAGGAGCAAACCTCTCCTGCTCCATTATCTCTCCTGCGTGTTGACAAAGGTACCGCTGCAGTTTGCTTATGTTCAGAGCAAACTCAGCAGATGTGCTCTCTCTATGTTTAAATATTCAAATTAAACTATTTGGTATGCCACACTCATGACCTACTTCATAGATTCTTTACTATTTTATTTGAATAATTGATGTCCTGAGGCTACAAGTATATTACATGAGAGATTTTTACCCTTTTATTTATTCATTCAACAGTTATACCTTCTTTTCCAGAGGCCTTTCATTACACATTTTCATTTTTTTTTATTCTAGGGAATAAGACTTCCTTACTCATGTAATTGGTTAATCCAGCAATCATTGATGTGGAAGAGTGAGTATATAGAAATCTGGCCTGGCTCCTTTAAATGTCTCCTCCCTTGGGTTCCCATGGCAACACCGTCCAGGGGCTCAGTATATGGGGCCATTTGATTGTTCCTTGTAAAATAGTGTATAATGTATGGACCTTATTTTAATTCCAGTCTGCCGTTATTGATCTGTCTTTAATGATAGTTAATTAAAGCAATCATATAATTGATAGATTCTCATCTCTGTTTATCACCCTCCTCTGATTCTCTCTCTCTATTCATAAAATCAAGGTGAGGCAAAGTATCCCACACTGATTCGTCTGAAAAAAAATAAAGCTGTTCAGTATCAGTGGTCTTTTACAGAGAGGGTTCCTGTTCTTTATCAGGATGTCAGGAGAGCTGGTCTTATCAGTGACAGTGATGCAATTGCGGTAATAAATGTTGGGACAAACGTATAACTCTAGATTTTTTGTGACATTTATAAGGAATCTGAAATATGAGTAGGGTTTTTGCTTATTTTATTATTGTGCTTGTTTTAAATGAGTTAGCTTTGAGTTGAGTTACCAAACCCAATTCAGTTTTGGATCTTTTTTCTATGAGATCTAATATGAGTCCAATAAATACTGCGGCCATGTTTGACCATGAACATGTAAGTGTTTATCTGGAAGCATCACTTTCATTTTCCTTAGCAGAAGTTCAATATAGACATGACTAATATCTTGGGTTTATCTAACGATTTTTCAAAATATCAATTCATCTGCCAGCTATCTTTTTGATTAATGGTTTAGTCTATGAAACATAAAGAAGTGTGGAAACTCATTTGCACAGTAGGAGAGTATCTTCAAATCTCTTATCTAAAAGTCCAAAAACAATATATATTACCTTTACAATAAGATGGAAAGAAAACATAATTTCTACTTGAAAATACATTTTTAATTGACTACTTGTTATTTTTCATTCCTTTTCATGTTTCTTTAAATGAGATACAATAATGATATCTGATCTTTTTGTTTTCATTTGTTGTGTCGTAAGGATTTTCTGATTAGTCCACCTTTTCTCAGTTCTATAAATAAATCAAAACAGAATGATTTACATGGAAATTGAAAAACGATAGGTTCTTTACCTCCAACTGCAGAGTGAACAGACCTTTATCTGATGTCCTTGTTCAGCAGCAGGCTGTAATTTATTGGCCTCTGCACCCACAGCCCTCCGTGACCCATCAGGCCCTGCTTTCATCCTGCATGCAGGGTGAACACTGCTGCATGCAGAGCTGCCTGCAGTCATGGTGCAAGAGCTCCCTCTACTGATACATCTGGTACTGCATGGTAATACTCACTCAAAGCTACTCATTTACTGTGATTGCATTCATATTTGTTCCCTTGCATGAGCAACAATTCTGGTGTCACTTCTGATGCAACATAGATTATTTTAATGCATGAAAATAGACTACACTTTACTTACAACCAACAATAAAACGTGATGATTAAGGTTGCATAATCTGGATGCTTCAATGTGCGGAGGCGTGCATCAGAAAACTCTGTGTGTTTATGAGCTATGAAATATTATATATGCGTTATAATGCACTTTGATTACCCTCAAAATGCACTATACATATGGTCTTTATAGACAATGTTACCAATATTTCTGCAGAGAAATGTAATTAACAAAGTCCAGTAATCTCGCAAAAGTAGTTTATTGTGCCTCTTACTGTTTATATGGCTTTTCTTTGTATGACAAGAGTTGACATAAACAGAGGGTAGACAACACCTTGGCCATGTTGAAAAACAAAAAACATGAAACAACATAATCTCAATGTTCTGCCTGAATTACCATCATTGACATCATGACAGGTTAGCAGAGAGAGAGAGAGAGAGAGAGAGAGAGAGAGAGAGAGAGAGAGAGAGAGAGAGAGAGAGAGAGAGAGAGAGAGAGAGAGAGAGAGAGAGAGAGAAAGAAAGAGAGAAAGAGAGAAAGAGAGAGAGAGAAGGGATGAGGTCATCACAAAAGATCTTCTGTGGGACAGCACCGTGAAGACATTCACACAATGACTCACAACATGTTAAAGCATTCACACACACGCACGCACGCAGACATACACATACACACACTGAGGAGACCTGCACATATTCAGAAAATGGGACCTCTCACCGCTACAGAAAGAATGTTCATATTGCTTCAAAGAGAGACAGAAAAAACCCTCTGCGCTGTAAAGCAGCCACGCTCCCACAGCTGATCGCCTACTGAGACATTTTGGCAATAAAGAAAGGATACATGAGAACTCGTAATCCTCCATAGCTTCTTTAAAAAGAGTTGACGATATACACAAGAAGACAAGATGATATAATGGCTTTTGGGATGAGAAGGCAGTTTGTTTGCATGGAAGCCAGCGCGAGCACAGGCGGGGCAGTGATGATGACCATGATGATTCGCCCCCCTCTGGGAGAGTCACGCTGGCATCCATGCTGTTTCTCAGACTTGTCACCTTCTATGTACACGCAGAGGGGTTGAGCTGATCAAAACAGAGTCAAGAATACACACATAAATATTGCCTTTTTCTAGCTTGCTGAAAGCAGCTAGGGTTTGGTCCTTACTGAAAAGCCCTGAGTCTGATTCCAAAATGTCTTCCATAAAGATTCCTGCTTTTTTTTTTCTTGCATATGTTTTTGATCGTTGTGTTGATGCATGATGTTGCTACTGGATGTTTTTTTCTCCGTGCTGTAAGTGTGCATTCTTCTATTGACATCATCGGGGAGTGCTCTAAGTTTGATAGTATTCTGTGTGTTGATGTTGTCATCAGTTTGGACATGCTAATGGGAATATTGTAAGCTCAAAGACAGTTCACTCTCAGTGGACAGGATGTGCCTTTCATTGAATCACAAAAGTGCTACATATACGGTCTAATGTAAACCTCTGATGATGCCAGGTCGGCGCATCTGCTACAGCTGAGGGTAGAGCCAACGGAGTGTGTGTATGCTTGTGTGTGTGTGTGATATCAGGGTGTGTTAGTGCATGTTTGAATGAGCGTGCTGCTGTGAGGATTGCTGGATCAAGGCTGGTGTCCCTGCCAGTACTCAAACTCATGCTCCAAAAGATGACTTTTCTTAACTTTGGCACAAAATTATTTCAGCATTGACAGCACAAGTCGGCTACAATGAGAGCTTAATATAATAATGCCAATTCCCTGATAACAGAAACTGATTAAGTCACTGCAACATAACAATAGTCCTCTGGGTTGATTATCATTGACATCCACATTGAGCCATAGTGCCCCCAAAAGCCCCAGCTAAGCATATGTAGCTGATGAGGAAGACCCAGCCAGTTCAGATTACCCTTCTTTCCTTCAGAATATCTTCTCAGGAAAGCTCTTCAAAGAAAACAATGTCTAAAAGGATTCATATATAAAAAACCGAATAACAAACAAAGGCAAAAATATAATGGTATATAGATATGTATGGACTTATTCATAAATTGAAACAAATAAGAAAAGTAAAACTGAAAACAATATTCAAAAGCAATAACCACAAAAACAAAGGTTAGCATACTCGATTTGGTTTTGCCCTGTACTCTTG